AAAAGGGAGCGCTTCCGAAGAGACACTCGTAGAGTATAATACCGACGGACCAGAGGTCAACACTGGCGTCATATTTGGTTCCCAACAGAATCTCTGGAGCCATATATAGAGGCGAACCTCTCAGAGAAGTGGCCGAGTCTTCAGAGCGCAGGTATTGAGCGAATCCAAAGTCAGCGATCTTTAGGACAACATTTCGCCAACAATTGCCACAAATCTTAGATGAGATGAGAATATTCTGTGGCTTGAGATCCATGTGTGCGATGGAGTGCGACCGCAATGTCTTCAGAGCTGTCGCTATCTGTTGCAAAAAATGGCGAACAATTGGTTCCGAAAATCGTTTATTCTTTCGGATCAATTGAGCCAATTCTCCTCCACTGCAGAACTCAAACACCAGATATATATGACTCTCAGTCCACTGGAAGTCCTTCAGTTCAACGATGAACTCATTCTTCACTTTCTTTGTGATCGATATCTCATTAATGATGTCATCAATCGATTGCTTCGAGAGTGAGCTCTTGTGGACACATTTGATGGCAACCACTTCTTCCGGGTTTCCCTAAACACACGCATGTGTTGGCCAACAATAAGACAACCAATGGATACAAGGCATGGATAATAAAGACAAACCTTTTTGAATGCCTTATATACTGTTCCATAGGTTCCTTTGCCCAACAGATCCCCAAACCTGTACTCCAGAAGTGAATGTCTTGTCTTCAAAGACATTTCAAACCATTTGTTTTGATATAAAGTAGTGTTTGTTTTGAGTTTGTGTTGGCATTGAATGCCATAAATAATGTCTGTATTGACAGTGAGCTGAGGAAGTGGTGAGTTGTGGTAACAATGGGTTTGATCCGAAGAGTGCCGCGTCTCATGGTCTTCGACTTGGATCACACCCTCTGGCCCTTTGGTGTCGACGCCTTCCACTTCAAGCCTCCTTACCATCGAAGAGAAGAACAGATATATGACTCACAAAACAAACCAATGAATTGTTTCCCAGAAGTGCCACAAGAGAGAGAGAGAGAGAGAGAGAGAGAGAGAGAGATGAGTCTGATCTGGATATAAGTGACGATTCGTAAAGCACTAGCAGACCACCACTGAATGGAGACCACCCAAGAAGTTACACAACTCTATGCTCTTAAACTCATTTTTGTGGCAAATTATTTGCAAAGTCGGTGGCACTCAAGTGATGACATTATGTGTTATATTCACTGCAAACTTCATTCCAATAATTATAATTAGAAAATATACTATTATTTCTTTGACAAGATTATAGCAAACCATTTATTAATGACACAATTTTGAAATTGACAAATAATAGGTTATATTTAAAAGTTAAATATTCGCACAAATTTAGCAAAATGATTAACTATTTTTTGGTTAAATTAAATAATATAGTAGTTTTAAAACATTTTCTTTTTAATAATTTTAAAGTTCTTGAAAAATTGATACATAAAACTAATGAAAATATTATTTAAATGAGTTGTGATCTACAATGAAGGAGGGAAAGGGAGAGTGAGAGACAAACTCATGATTGAAAGAAGGAGACATTCTTTAATTATTTGTGACCACAATTTTCTGTCTCAAAATTTAGTACGAATTTTCGGTGACTTTACACTATAAGAGACAAAAAAGGGTGTTTTTATTAACTTTTTACAAAGTCAAAAACGATCTTATACAATAAACTATATGACATTAATTGAAATATTTAACTGTACGAAAATTGTCAAAACAACCCACAAAAATAAGATTATATTAAAATATAGTAAGATACTACATTTTAAAAATTAATTTTTAGGAATAATTTGAATTATCTGACTAAAATTTGGTTTTTCAATTTGGTATTCATTTTTAACCATTATTTTTTATTATTATAAACAATCATGCCAAATAGAAATTGTTATGGTTAATTGGAAATTGTTACATTTGGCACTGTTATAAAATTTAAGAATTTAAATAAATTGATACAAAATTTATAATATACAGTACAATACTAATACTATAACTGTAATATACTGTACTACTATAATTCTACTATAAAACAACACTTAAAAGGTTAAAATAGCAGAATTAAAAATTCCTGGTAATTTTTGTTTTTAGAAAACTAAAGTTTAATATTAATATGAAAATGGAACTTGATAAAACTTATAGGCTAACATAATAATTATATGTACAGTACTGTATTTGAACAACTAAAACTATGCCACTTATATGCAAATATTTCGTTGAATTGTAACTAATGAACAGAAAGGTGTAAAAATAAAAGTTATATAAGAATTCCTGAATTCAATTATAACCGAAGTAACAATTGAAGGGCGCCTAAATTGGCTGACTATCTTAGAGGTAACGGTGCTCTTAAGCAATAAAATCTAAAAATATTTATTTGGTCTCTGGTTTGGGTTTCTTGAGAAGGGCTGACATTCATAGCTCTCCAGTCCAGGTGTAGAAAATTTGTTGCCTCCGAGCCATTTGTATAATACATTGAATTTAGTGCTCACAACAACTCCAATCTTAAACCGATTGAGACATCAGTGTTACTGACATTCATTCAAATCTCTCCCCAAAAATCAACCTTTTATTCGCAAAACTACTTAAAGCTCACAATTCCCTGCAATTTATTCACCGTTTCTGACAACTCTTACCTACAAATGGACTCATTCTCTACAAAGAAATAATATTTTTGCTTTTCTTTCACTACTTGTGTAAATGATTATCGATTGTAATTGAGTTAACAATGTATTTATATTATGTCACATTTAGTAAATTCAACATAAAGTTAATACTTTTATTATTTATAATTATGTAAATAATGATTAGTTAACCGCAGCTTATAATAACTAAAACATGTTAATTTAAATTAAACGGTATTTCTCTTCACACCTCAATCACAAAATAAGTTGTTTTTCAGCACTTTTTTGAGCTCTAAAATGGTTAGACTTAGCTCTTTGAAGTTTCCAACATCTCTCTCTCTCTCTCTCTCTCTCTCTCTCTCGAGAGAGAGAGAGAGAGAGAGAGAGAGAGAAATTTGACTTTATTTTACACGTTTCGTAAGCAATAAATAATTACTAATTTAGTGTTTCTCAAAGTTAACAAAAGACTGAAACATTGGATTTAAATGATGGATAACTTAAAAACGAATTTATTTTCCAATTAAATATAAAAATCATTTCATTTAATAATATATTTAATGTTGAGTTAATATTTTTATAAAAATTTTGTAAATATCTAATATAATTTAGATGTAATTGAATTGAATTCGTGACTCTATAGCGCATGGAATGGTATTTTAGGCCTGGGATTGGAATTTAAGCACATATTATGATACAAGTCTTCGATACAATAAGTTATAAGGATTTAAATCATAATTTATTTGTATCCAGACGTGGGGAATGTCAGGGGAATACAGTTTTGTTGCAAAATTCAAAATCAAATATTCAAATACACATTCTTTTCAATCTTAAGCTTTTATAAGACTCGAAGTTATTTCTTAATATAAATTAATTTTCTATACTATTATTGTTATAATTACTGTTTTATACTAATATTCAAATCATTTAATTAATAAATAGGAAAATAAATTGAAGACTTAGTTTGAATGCTTTGGGCACTGATTGCAGAAATGGATTCCAAGAGATTGGCGTTTATTAAGACATCAAACCTGTCGTTGGAGAAGCTTTGGAGCCTTAGGCTGTCTTTGCGAACATTATTATAGTTATACATCAATTGCTGCACATTTAGAGGGGATGTGGTGTAGAACTGGCTCAACAAGTGTCCCCTTTCATGAACTTTGGAGTCTTAGAACTACACCACAGTATCTCTAATGAAGAGAGAGAGAGAGAGAGAGAGAGAGAGAGAGAGAGAGAGAGAAGTTGGTCCAGAAAGAGGCGAATGAATGGCAAATGCAGTAAAAAATAAGAAAGCTTTGGGTCGTCAGTCCCACCCCAACGGCCTCTTCTATATTATATATGAGTTGGTCTGAAGTAATTCAAGTGAAAAGATTTCAAGTTTTCTTTGCTTCAAAACAATTATTATATATAAAACTTTTGGCGGACTTATAGACATAAAGACTATACAATATATTCTTTATAATCTATTTCTATAGAAAGTGCGGATCAAGCGCTCGAAGCACTGAATAATCACTTAATGTCTTCATTTGAACTCTATTTTAAAAATTCACTTCAAAAATGTGTTGAAAGATCGGTATATAATCATAAAATGCAATTTTGATTCATTTTCTAGATCTATATTCGTGTTATTAATATATACAGTAATTTAGATAACTTTGATTTTATCTTCAAATAACTTTATTTCAAATTTGATCCCATGTTATAAAAGTAGAAAAATGCGATTATATTGAATAACAATTATTTGATATGAATTGCAAGACATTGATAAAATTTCTTTGAAACAAATATTTATTGGAAAAAAGTATAAAAATAAAAACTTGTCATGAGATCTAAGTCTAGATTCTTTGGTAGAGATAGTACTGATAGTTCATATCATTCTCATGTTGTAGTTCTTGTGGAATAGTGTTGTCCTCACGAGTGATATCTTTGAAGAGTTTGAGATCCACTTCAGGGAAGAAGGCATCGCATCGGAAGTGAGCGTCGATTCGCGTTAAATAAATATATTTGAATTCTTGGCAAACAATCGCTTCTTTGTATACCTCTTGACCTCCGATTACAAACACTTTGTCTATACTCTCATCACTCGATAGCTCTTCAATCGATTGCTTCAAAGAGCCAAACAAACGGTGCGCTCCTTTGGGCAACTGATCCAATGTTTTACTCAATACTACATTCAGTCGATTAGGAAGTGGTCTGAACTTCAAAGGAATCGATTGCCACGTCTTTCGGCCCATTATTACAGCGTTTTGTTTGCCATCGATGGCCGCACTCGTGATGCGCGTGAAGTATGCCATCTCTTGCTTCAGACGCCACGGAAGCCCCCCTTCGCAGCCGATGCCGTTCTGGTGACAAACAGCAGCTATTAAGGCATATGTCTTGTGGCCAACCGATGACATCCTGGCATTCAATGACTGCAACTCTTTGGAAGTATTGCTGAAACAAACTCTTGGAGTAACGGTTAAAACGTGACAATTATTTCTCAAAATAATCTCAAATTATTTGTAATATTATTGACACCTATCCTATCACTTCCCAAGAGATGTCATCATCTTTCAGATTAGATCCACTCATTCTATTGGATTGTTAGGGTTTTGAAGGGTTGGGAGGGCTGGCACTCACTATGCGCTCAATTATCAAATTGAATGAAAAATTCCGGTTTGGTTACTCAACAGTTTTATCATTAGTTAAGTATAAATAAGTAGTTTTTATCAAAAGTTTAATATGAACTCAATTGTTTTGTTTTCAGTTTAGTTAATATTTTAGTTACTAGTGAATAACAGTAAAAGTATCAATATTTGGTAATACATAATATGCCAGTAATTAACATCAGTTATACAATAATAAATGTTCACAAAATCAAAGTTCATTGCAATTCGTAATGAATTTAAACAAAATTATACTTATATTGAAATTAACATAAATCTTAATATAAAACAATTGCTCTAAAAATATCACTTTCAATGACTTAATTCACTGCACATAACAATTTGAAGTTAATGACAGATCTCTTGAATTGGATGATTTGGTGACAAAGTTATTGAATGAAAGACTTCCTATCTTGTCATTTGATTCAATGCTCTTTTTGTTAGCATTTTTAGTACTAGTTTTGCACCGAGTCTTCAGCTCAAGACGAAAACATTAGGTAAACAACTCAAGTAGCATCTCATATCAGAATAGTAACTGAAATTCAGCACCGTTATGAAGCTTTGGCTAAAGTTACCGAAATAACATAAGTAACTTACGAAAGAATTATGCCTTTGATTTGATCGACTGTTCCGCTCCTTCGACTAATTGGTAGGCGTTTTGAATGGACTCCATATCTTTGATATCTACAGCAATGAGTCCACAACTAATCTTCAGCTGTTCTGCTCTTTCCATATATTGAGTTAATTTGCTTTTAAGAATCTGTTGTTTGCTTTGATCCCAAACAGTGGTGCCGTCGCCCCAACTATACACGGGAACCAAATACTGGAGACCTTGAGTATATAGACTGAAGGACTCGTTATAACGACATTTCTGGTCGTTATCGACGGCTTCTTGTATTAGTTGAACGCCTTTGGCGTAAGACTCGATGGACGGCATGTGCTCTAAATCAATGAACGGGTGATCAAAGAACTCGTCGAATGAAATCCTATTTTTAGGATCTCTTTGTAAAAGTCGATTCAAAATGTCTCTACAATTGTCTGATATGTCAATATCATTGGGAATTTTGATCGGTTCCCGACTTTTGATTTTTTGAGTCAATTCTTCGAAACTTTCTGAACAAAAGGGAGCGCTTCCGAAGAGACACTCGTAGAGTATAATACCGACGGACCAGAGGTCAACACTGGCGTCATATTTGGTTCCCAACAGAATCTCTGGAGCCATATATAGAGGCGAACCTCTCAGAGATGTGGCCGAGTCTTCAGAGCGCAGGTATTGAGCGAATCCAAAGTCAGCGATCTTTAGGACAACATTTCGCCAACAATTGCCACAAATCTTAGATGAGATGAGAATGTTCTGTGGCTTGAGATCCATGTGTGCGATGGAGTGCGACCGCAATGTCTTCAGAGCTGTCGCTATCTGTTGCAAAAAATGGCGAACAATTGGTTCCGAAAATCGTTTATTCTTTCGGATCAATTGCGCCAATTCTCCTCCACTGCAGAACTCAAATATCAGATATATATGACTCTCAGTCCACTTGAAGTCCTTCAGTTCAACGATGAACTCATTCTTCACTTTCTTTGTGATCGATATCTCATTAATGATGCCATCAATCGATTGCTTCGAGAGTGAGCTCTTGTGGACACATTTGATGGCAACCACTTCTTCCGGGTTTCCCTAAACACACGCATGTGTTGGCCAACAATAAGACAACCAATGGATACAAGACATGGATAGTAAAGACAAACCTTTTTGAATCCCTTATATACTGTTCCATAGGTTCCTTTGCCCAACAGATCCCCAAACCTGTACTCCAGAAGTGAATGTCTTGTCTTCAAAGACATTTCAAACCATTTGTTTTGATGTAAAGTAGTGTTTGTTTTGAGTTTGTGTTGGCATTGAATGCCATAAATAATGTCTGTATTGACAGTGAGCTGAGGAAGTGGTGAGTTGTGGTGACAATGGGTTTGATCCGAAGAGTGCCGCGTCTCATGGTCTTTGACTTGGATCACACCCTCTGGCCCTTTGGTGTCGACGCCTTCCACTTCAAGCCTCCTTACCATCGAAGAGAAGAACAGATATATGACTCACAAAACAAACCAATGAATTGTTTCCCAGAAGTGCCACAACTCTTGAGGAGACTTCACGGCGAAGGCATCCATTTGGCGGTCGCCTCTCGAACGACATACCCGGTGGGCGCCCACTCTCTCATCGACCTCTTCAGATGGACTCAATATATCAAACACAGAGAGATATTCCCCGGAAGTAAACTCAAACACTTCGACCATTTGAAGAGTAAATCGGGATTTGATTTCAAAGAAATGCTTTTCTTTGACGACGAGACCAGAAATATCACTCAAATCCAAGCCTTAGGTGTACTGTCAGTACTCATTGATAGAGACATCGGTCTCACCGGACGTATAGTCGATGAGTCTCTCAAAGCATTTCAAAGCAACAATATATCCAATCATTGATTGCATACTCTATTACCCGTACCTATAGTTAACAGTAATTGTACGAACATTTATTTAATTGTCATTATGCTTGCTATGAATAGCATTTGATTACTATGCAATCATAGGCCAATAGTGTCCTGGTTAATTAAATTGTAGGACACAATTTTCCAATCTAGTGTCTACTGAAACCATCAAAGTTTTGTAATCACTGTACGTTCAGTTAGTGTTTCATACATTGAATTGAACAATGATTCTAATGTATTGTAGAAATTGTTAATAAATTGTTGATTAGTTAAGTATGAGTATTGCCACGGGTTTCTAATCTACACCGGAATTAGTCCAGAACAAAACGTTAGTACAATCTACATTGTACGGTAAATGTCATGAATCATTATCATTTGCCGCATCTTACTTATACTGTACTACAGTGTACATAAACTGGTCCAAACTACAATAAATATTTACTACCGTAGTTATATTTTTGAAGTCCCATAGATCTAGTAAATAATATGCTTAAATAGGCTTAAAAGTTTACCGACTTTTGCACTGTGATATATTCTGCAATATACAGTAAATAAGGTAGGTAAAAGTTTTCAAATTTAAACCATACAAAACTTACTGTCAATTTTTATAGACATTGTCTACCAAGAATACCGTATGACTAAAGAATAAATCTAATGTCAAATTTAAGTGGTGATTGGCCACAGAATTATTGGTAGTAGTAGATTATTAATATACTTTACCAATCCACTCTACAATCAATTTATGGTTATATTATAGTTATTGCTGTAAATTGAAGTCCAATAATTCTACTTTAGTTAATGGCATTTGTGGCACACTTTAATCTAATGGACAATTAAGTCATAAAACAAACTAAAAGTAGTACAGAATTCTTCGATATATATGATCGATATTTTGGAATAAAGTGGAGCTCATTGGCGAGGGAGATAGGAGATGGGTGAATTGAGGGCACCATGCTCAATAAAATGCAGTGTTCTAGGTGCAATAAAAGGCATTCTATACCGACAAACCATACTTTACCTGATGCACATTAGAGTCATATAATTCAATATTCAGATATTCTGTAAACATTTTGAATATAAAATCTTTTTATTTAACGAAAGCATAGGATTATATGTACGAAACATTGTCAAGTAATGATAAAATAGAGATATACAGATGCATGTGATGTTTTATGACTAAATGTTGACAAAAATATAATTTAAATGATTTTCGCATCTAATGAATCTATTAACAAAACAATGAAACCCATTCAATACAATGAAAGGTGTATTGATTGAACTCTAAATTTAACTATTAAAATGATGCTATAATTAACTAAATTCACTAAGAATTTGACCGTAAATTGAATGGAATTTTAAATAATTCAATTACAAAACATACAATCGATATGTTTGTCTCAATTGAGTGCAAACTTATCTCGTTTGGAAGTGACGTGATATTAACTTTCAATCTTTCATTTGTACCTTATTTTCATGTCCACTCACTCTCGGCCTATATATCACACATATATTGCATATGAAAGCGAATGCATACCAGAAGTTCACTTTGCAATCATCTTTCAAATCAAAAATGATTTCAATTTCCTAATCGTCTTGTCGTCTAATTTCATTAAATCGAAATCAAATGTGGTTTCAGTCAAACAGAAAAGACCCGACTCTTCGATGGTGTCGACAATCCTCTGCAAGAGATCAATATTAGTCGACTCACTGATCCTCTTCTGCACGTCCATCAAGTCGTCCAACACTACGCACCCCTCCAGGTCTGGACCACCACTTATGCCCAATGGGACATCACTTCGAGATGAATCCAATCGTTTGTTTGATTCATTGGTTTGCAAATCTTTTTTACGTTTATTTGACACCAATTTCGAGGAATCCTTTTTATTTTGTAGGCTATCTTTGGCGTCATTTTTGAGGGAATGAGTGATCCGTTTGGGCGACTGTTTGGTTGAGGCCTCGCTGTCCGAGTCATCGGAAATGAAGCGTTTGTTTGCATCGGACTTATGGTTTGGTCGAATCGGTTGAAACCGGAGAGACGTGGAAATGTTGTCACTCGACAGGGGAGACATCGAGTCATTAGATTCTAAATCAGCTGCTATTTGGTTGATTGGCCTATCATTAGGTGGTGGCGTCAAAGAATCTGATGACAGACTAGTACTTCTTTCTCTGGCGTGTGAGCCATACTTGTCTTTAGGAACCTTCAAGTGTTTGTTTCCATTCACTTTCGGAGACTTCAGATAATTGGGCTCTGGTTTGGGCTTAACTTTGTTAGCACTCAATGAGGAATTCACAGATGAGTTGGTGTTGGAGTTGAGTTTGTCTTTAGCGGACTTCGTCTCCTTAGTCCTCGACTTCTTGCTCTCACTGTCCCACGTCTTCTCCTTCTTAACCGACTTTATTTCAATAGTAGTGCTGCTGTTGTTATCACTGAAACTAATCTTAGTTGAGGTCGAGCTCTGCTTTTTGACGCCACTGTTCACATCTTTCGACGAATTCTTTTGCCTTTTGCTCGAATTCTTATTGTCCTTATCCTTAATTGAACTCAATTTTTGTGATTCTTTGTGTACTTTTGATTCATTACTCGCAGTCAGTGTCGAAGAGTTCGAAGACGTGCTATTCCTTCGCTTTTTGGAAGATTTTGAATCTATTTTCTTATCACTAGTGCTGTCATAAGGTTTAGGCGATGAGTGGCTGCTCTTCTTTTTCGACTTACTTGGCGTCACCTCTTCTTCGCGTTTGCTTTTTGTACTCTCTTTGCTCTTCGAATCCTTTGAATCCTTTAACTCTTTCGGGGTTTTCGACGATTTGTTTTCATTTGTCTTATGAGTTGGCGATGAATGCGAGCTTTTGCTTGAATTCTTATGCACTGATTTCGATTCATTTTTCACTCCTTTGGAAGCAATTGCTGTGAATTTACTCTTCGAAGGGTTTTCCTGTTATTCAGAGTTTTAACCGTAATTATTACTAAATCATAACTAATATAATCATATTAACACTCACTTTGTTTTTAACCGTCGATTCAGTTATAGGTTTAGTTTGAATGGGTGTTCCAAATAAGTCTGTAAATTGTTTGTTAGTCTGAGGAATGGGTGGTTTATCGGAAGCAAGTGATGGATTCGATGAGGAAGTCGTTGTAGAGTTTTGTGATTTATTCAGTGATTTATCTTTAGATGGGATAACACCTAAAGTTTTGGATTTCTTGTTTTCAATGCCACTGACAGACGCTTTACTATATTTAGTGCCGTTGGACGAGGAGGAAGAAGAGGTGGTCTGTTGTGTCTGTTGTGTCGGCGCTTTCTCTTCAGGATTGCCCGAAGTTTTAACTGAAGTGCTGTTCGTTTCGTTAGTGACCTATAATTAACACAACAGATTAAACTATGATCGACTCATAGCGCAACATATCCACAGATTATGATAATCTTTAGTTCTCAACCCTTTCTAACAAATTCATACCAATTAACTTAATTTTCAATTGAGAGAGAGAGAGAGAGCGAGAGAGAGAGAGAGATTCAACGAATTGAAATATAGTAAGCGTTGATTAATGGCAAGCATTTAATACTTATCATGATATTGAGAACGTCTCTGACCTATAGCTCCAACTAAAACTACATAAAAAATAATTTTTTGTTTAAAAAACAGATTTCTAATAAAGTGAAACACTTTTTATACACTTTTCTCTGGCATCAGCTCTGCTGTGGCTAAACATATGGCAGAGCATTCACTGATGAATACTGTCATCATTTGAAATATAATTTAAGAAATAATGATTCAAAATGTTATAAACCTCTCACTCTTTAGCAAACTCTTCATAACCAACTTACGGCACATCTAAAACAGTTTACCGTATACTCTAACTTAACGTTATTCAAGTGTTCATTATTTTTGAAAACTTTAATTTTTGCAATGAATATTGTGATAATTATAGGCCGTTTGAAAATAAACGACATTACTTTCCTTATAAATTATATGATTAAGTATACAGTAAGAAAACTACTATAAATGATAACTAACCCGATATTTGGCTGAAATGCAGTCTTTGACATAATATAGCATAACATTAATAAAAAGTACAATAAATATAATACAAGAATCAAATCCGATATCACAGTTAAGGTCACTTCAGAGACTTAAATTTTAAATATTGACGGTTAATACAATATTTGTAATATCACTCACTAATATATTTCATTGGAAACACAACCAAAATTGAAATAAATGTTTTTAAGTCAAACCATTTAATGGGACACTAGTTATGAAATAATGAGACTTATCTATGATTCTATCACAGCCTATGAGAGCCATAAGCAGGTGCTCTCGTTTGTACTCAATATTGAAGCTCTATTTGGCATTCAATTCTATGCGTTTACACAGAAATTCACTTTTTATATAACTGTAACATTTGAGTTAAATAGCCAATACAGGTATATATACTGTTCAGTGCATTCTTTAAATAAGGCATTTAGTTAAATACAAATTTCACTAAACTTACTGTAGACTAAACATATGATAATTGAAAGTTAATTTCTAAAATGATATATCAGTGCGTGCATGGATGCAAACATGAAAAAACATATGTAAACATATCTAGACATAGAAATGATATGTAATGTGAATGATATAAAGAGTGGTAAGTCTTACTCCTCCGGCTTTAAGCAGTTTCTTCTTGAAGTCATTGCTTGGGTTCTGAAACGTGAGTTTCTCGCGTCGGCTGTGACTGACGGCGTCGTCCAGACGGAGGTAGAGGTCGTAGTCGAAGCAGATCTTCTTGGGCTCCTCCTTGTTCTTGAAGTACACCTCAATGGGCAGCTCGAAGGAGGCGTAACCCGACTCCTGGACCTGATAGGGCGGCTCTTTGAGCACTGATCGACACAAACAAAATCATATGAATGAGTGAATGCATGGGTTGGCGGGCTATGGAGGGAACCTCTCTTAGGCTTTGGGAAGCTTTCGTGCAAATGAAAGACCACTTTCTCGACGAAGTGCTCGATATTACTGTTCTCCGGACCCCTCACGAAGACTGTCCTGTAGGCCACAAACAGACAAAGAGTTGACAATTGAGTTTGGGGTGACAGTAGTGGTGACTTACCAGTCGTGAGTGTGTCCATCGGGTCTGATGGTGGTGCGAGGGGTGGCTCTGTGGCCGATCTCCAGCTGCACCTCCACGTACTGAGACGACCGCTACATACAGGACACCATCACATGAGACCATCACATGAGACAATCACTCACCGCATAGACACTCAGTCAACAAATCAACGCAATACTCACCGAAGACATGGCTATGGCTTAGGTTGGCTTCAGTCGCGAGGATTACCTGTCATTCAAATCAGTCAATGGAAGGCATTTGTGACCAAATGTGTCACCAATTCATTGCAATTGAGTCCACATTTCATGCAATTTAGACATCACTTGAACACCAATTCATTTCGCAACCGATCTATGAAACAGTCTGTAATAGTGTTGTACTGACACTCTGTTTACAATACGTGACATGTAGTGTGCCCTACACACACCACTGTGAACCACAACACGAGCTAAGCATACCACCACATACAACACTACTCTATCCATTCGTTTACAGGTCTCCGCACTAATTGTCATAACTTTTAATTGTTTTATTTATAAGACTTATTAATTACTATAAAATTAATTTAATTATTATTTAATATTAACTTAAATTAATTAGTGAATGCTGTGAATGAGTGTCAAGTGTGTGCTCCCATTGCAATACATTTCCCAAAATCTGTCACTACTTTCAAAGCATTTGACTAAAAAGTCCGGAAAAGACCTCTATATGAAAACAACACTAAAATGTCTACTTTTGTGTGCGATTTGTATGAAACAAATTGCATTTTAATCTCATTTTAAGTTATTTTAAGTTCAGTTTTGGCTGTTTTGCACACATTTTATCAATCATTACATTTGGCACACAATTAGACATCAGTGGACATGACTCTAGACATTGGAGACGAACCCGGGTTTGTATGCATTGCATGGTATTCGTGGCAGTGCTGTGAGTGATGTCTGCATTTCATTCACTCCATTGACCACCGATTCAGTGATCAGTGAGTGAGTGATGAGTGCAGACATGGGAAGGGAAGGCATGGGAAGCATGCTTTGGGGCTACACTCACACCACCGCACATATGCCACACATACCACACGTGTATAACCATTCACTCACCGATGGATACTCTCGTTATAGCAAACTATTCATCGGTGGTCTCAGTTGGGAGACAACGATCGGTAAGACATGAGTGAGTGGTGAATGAATTGATGGACTCATTGGACGTGTGTTTTAGAGAAACTGACGGAATATTTCTGTCGTTATGGAGAAGTGACTGATTGTGTGGTTATGAAGAATGCAGAGACCGGTCGCTCGCGTGGCTTCGGTTTCGTGACATTCAAAGACCCCTCTTGTGTCCAGATTGTGATGGCCAGCGGTCCACACATTCTCGACGGAAGGACTGTATGTCTCAATGCATTGACTATTGATTTAGTGATTAATTGATTGATTGTATGAATGTATGGATAGATTGATCCGAAAGAGTGTAACCCAAAGAGCGCACAAAAGGGCAAAAGAGACGCAAAAGTGGGAAACTTTCCGAAAGTGTTTTTGGGAGGACTTCCGCCTAACGTGAATGAGTCTACTCTGAGGGACTACTTCTCCAAATTCGGAAAGGTATGTATGGTTTGGATTGTATTGTATTGGCATTGGACCTAATGGTTGCCATTGTATGGACAGGTGGTCGAAGTGGTGATAATGTATGATCAGGAGAAAAAGAAAACTCGAGGTAATGAATGGCTTATAAGTGATAATTAGAGGTATTTTGAAAGCGATAGGAATTTGAATTGAATTACTTTTGCCTTAAATTAATTTTAGTTTTACTAGAATGACATACAATAGTATTAATTACGTTATGTATTAATTACTTAATCTAAATGTTATGTAAGTATTTAATTGATAATTAATGATAATTATTTAACCATTATATCATTTTATATTTTAGGTTTAATTAATTGCAAACTAAGTCTTAATGTATTTAATATGAATAGTTTATATAAAATAGTGAACTCTTCTAATAACTTATAATACCGTATAATACCGTATAATTTATATATAATTATAATGTAATGAATTCGTGAAATAGTGGTTAAAGTTAACGGTTGTGTTAACTTCATTCACTTGACCTACACATGAGTTACTACACTGACCTACACATGACACTTGAATTAATATGAATTGGAATTTGAATGCCTTTTGGTTAGGCTTTGGATTCTTGTCCTTTGATAATGAAGATACCATTGACAAAGTTGTCCAGGAACATTTTGTTACCATCGGTGGAAAGCAGGTCATGTCCAACACCAGTGTGCCAACACTGGCCACTCAAACTGGTCCCTGACCTCACTCTCATGCCTCGTCTCTCATCTCATTATTATATACAATATCATTGCACTCTTACTCTATTCATATGAATACTAGTCTTTAAATTTAGCATTTATTCATTTAGTATAAGTTACCAATAATTTATATTTTTACTTATCAATTATATTAACATTTAATTGCAATAATTCATAATTATTTCATTAATTCTTAGCATTAAACTTGATTAATTGTAAATTATTATAACTATTTTTAATTAGTGTTTAGACTTCGCATGAGAGAGAGGTTTAAGGTTTTGTTCAACGATTCACTTCTAATTAATTTAGTTTTTCTTTATTTGATATTTTTGTATAACTTTTGAATGACTAGTAATTAATGGATTAAATCCAATGTATAGGTGGAGATCAAGAGGGCTGAACCCAGGGATAAGGCGTCTGGAAAACCAATGGGCAATCTTATGGGCGGCAGTCCTATGCAACCGCACGGTGGCGGGCATCCAATGGCTGGCGCTATGCCCCCGTGGAACCCCATGTGGGGACACCAATCTGGACCTCCAATGCATGTGCCCCCACCTCCTGGACAACCACCGCCACCAAAACTCTTTGTCTGTTTGTGGCCTACAGGACAGTCTTCGTGAGGGGTCCGGAGAACAGTAATATCGAGCACTTCGTCGAGAAAGTGGTCTTTCATTTGCACGAAAGCTTCCCAAAGCCTAAGAGAGGTGAACCTCCATAGCCCGCCAACCCATGCATTCACTCATTCATATGATTTTGTTTGTATCGATCAGTGCTCAAAGAGCCGCCCTATCAGGTCCAGGAGTCGGGTTACGCCTCCTTCGAGCTGCCCATTGAGGTGTACTTCAAGAACAAGGAGGAGCCCAAGAAGATCTCCTTCGACTACGACCTCTACCTCCGTCTGGACGACGCCGTCAGTCACAGCCGACGCGAGAAACTCACGTTTCAGAACCCAAGCAATGACTTCAAGAAGAAACTGCTTAAAGCTGGAGGAGTAAGACTTACCACTCTTTATATCATTCACATTACATATCATTTCTATGTCTATGTCTATGTTCATGTTTGCATCCATGCACGCACTGATATAGCATTTTAGAAAGTTTCAATTATCATATGTTTAGTCTACAGTAAGTTTAGTGAAATTTGTATTTAACTAAATGCCTTATTTAAAGAATGCACTTCTAGTATATATACCTGTATTGGCTATTTAACTCAAATGTTACAGTTATATAAAAAGTGAATTTCTGTGTAAACGCATAGAATTGAATGCCAAATAGAGCTTCAATATTGAGTACAAACGAGAGCACCTG